TAATGAAAATTTGTTTGCACAGTTGGCGCACGTTCATTTACTATTTGTAAAGCATTGTTCGGACACAGATACGTAAAACGTTGATGTGTGCATTATCCCGTCGTCTGATTAAAATATATTTAATGTTACCTTCACGCTACGTTTGTCTGAAAATAATGTATGCAGTATTTGTCGAGAAGCAGCCATAAATATCCTGAACAGACATCGGGGTCCGCCATTTTCCTGTTGACACAAACGAACCCACAACACATTCAAACTTCGGCAAGTTTCTATTGTTTACAACGTTGTTCCAGATTGTTAAATGGTCTGCATTTAAAGCCTCTTAATCGAATCAGTTCTTATGATCGTCTTTTTATATATAAAAAAACGTAGTTCATTTTCATAAACTCTTCATAGATTTTTCTTACAATAATTATGTTTTGTTTTTTTTCAATCGGTACATAGTGCATTAAAATGTCTTGGAGCTTCGAGAAAGTTCTGAAACGGAAATAATCTTGATGAAATGTTTCGCTATAAAAGGACGTCTCCGCTGTCACTGCTCCTCGCTTTCCTCGAAATAAACATCGCTACAAAAAACTGAAACTTTATTGTCATACTGCCCCCGTGGACGTTGGACGTTATTGTCTTCGTTAATAACATCTACGTTTGTTTTTGACATTGTTACAAGACTTTGTTGTTTATGTTAATGGCTAAACTTTGTTGCGCTTTTTTCGCGGAGATTAGTGTGGGCTTTGCGTTATAATTTCGTAACATATTTGGTTGTAACTTTAATATGGGTTTAGCTTATTTTAGTTCCGTTTCCGAAATAGCACGGGAAAAATATGCATTATATTAGAACAAGGTGTAACTAGGTAACCGTCTAGCCTTACAAGCAATATTGCTATCAATGAGGTTTCTGAAATAAATCTTTAACTAGATATTTATTACTATAAGAATTATTATATATTAATTTTTATAATTTTACAATTGTATTAAATTCCGGTAGACAAAACAATAGGTTTTCACTAATGGGACTGTCTTAAACTATTCCAGCTAGTATGTCCATTATCTATTTTCTCCCGTCGCGATAAAGTTTGTAAGAGCAAGTTCGTGATATTCATCTGCAACTAAAGAGAACCAGTCTCGCCCGAATTTATCTCAAAATTCGCTCACTACATTAAATTCAGAAAATGCGATGTTTTAATGACAATGAAAATGATGCATAGTGAATTGAGAACCTCCTCCATTTGTATTAAAGTCGGATGCAAATAAAATAAAAAAAATGTTTATTATTAAAATATTAGTAAAAATTATTAAAACGTAGCTGTCATAAAACTATCACGGCTGTTTACCTAACATGTCCTTTGGCTGCAGTGAGCACTTTTCATTTGATAAGACGTACGTTCGTGAGCCGGTTGACTCTAAAAAGGCTAATTTTATTTTATTACTCAGATCCTCGTTTACAATATTGTCATGATTTTTGTGTACATAGCATTCGAAACTTTTGAGTTCAATTGATGTATTCCAAATTAAATTTGTATTGAAAATCGTTTGTAGTGTTATTAATTTTATGAAGTAGCTTGAAATCGTTTTTCGAATTTGACATTTATTAATTAGTTTTTATTTCCGTAGTGAAATTGCCTTCAAAAATATACTTTGCGAAATCAGGTCGTACAAATATTGAAAGTGTCTGACCCGAAGGTTGTTCTGGACACAAATCTTTGTGGGCTCAAAAACACTCGCGCCCCTTTTTAAGTAAGGTCGTCTGATGGACGGCCTCCGGATATACCATTTTTTTATAAATGATATTAGAGTTTCATTTACAGCGAAAGGAATATATTTTTTTCGCTACCTATTGAAATTAACATATATGATCTACCGATCTGTTAACATAAAAATCTATATTGAAATAATTAAGATTTTTTATTAAGATTTTATAGATTACCAGAGCTCAACTGGACAACTAAAGTGGCAGATGAAAGGCGATTGCATGCAGCAGAGATGCGAATATTGCGATGGATGTGTGGAGTAACGAGAATGGATAGAATACGGAATGAATATATGTTAGAGGAAGTCTGAAAGTGGCGCCTGTGACAGAGAAGCTTAGAAGTGCGCGTTTGGGATGGTATGGACATGTGATGAGACGAAATGAAAATGAGGTTGATAAGAGAATGTTAACTATGAATGTGGAAGGATATAGAGGAAGAGGTAGACCTAAGAAGAAATGGATGGATTGCATGAAAGACGATGTGGGTAAGAGGGGAGTTTGCGAAGAAATGGTATATGATAGAAGAGTATGGAAGGAGAAAACATGTTGCGCCGACCTCAGGTGACTGGGAGAAGGGCAGGATAATGATGATAAGACTACCAGAGCTCATAGACATTTGAGAATTTATGCTTCTTTAGTTCTTTTCAGACGAGTTTTGAATTGATTCGACTTTGTGGGTCGCTATGCCAATGCAGTTTTAGTTTTTTTTGTTAATTATATTAAACAACAGCTGATCTACTAGTAAACCTGAGTCAGTACTATTAAGTGTCATCGAGCTTTTTGGCGTAATCGACGAGTTTGACGAGAACGGTGACTGGTGCTTCAAGAGTCTAAAAGAACCGAGAGTGGATCCACGGAATCCGACAAGACATATTTCAAAAAAGGATTTGCATGACCTGGAGAGAGTTTATGTGTATGCGGGCCGCTTGAGCGAACACTACACTTGCATAGGTCATGAAGAAACGTATGCAAGTTTTGTAGAGTGTCACCTTATTACGAAGAGATATAATTCAATTCTAGCAACGAAACACTAATTTTGGTTTGTAACTTTACAAGTTTATGCCCCGGATGTGGTCTATTCGGCAATTGGCCAACCACGTATACGATTTAATTATTTGGCGACGAGTATACTGCGCCATTCGAATATGACTTAAACATTTAAAATATTGACGATGCACACAGTAACAATAACTGTTCGACCAAGTTACTTTTTGGAGTGATTCTTAGATTTGGCTAGGATATCGTAAGTTATAACTTACGTTCACGTTTTTCTCATGTTCTGTCATTATCACGCTTAGTGGATCACTTAAACCATCTCTGATAACAACCGCTGGCCAGTTCTTGTTGGAGTTGTGTGTGGCTCTAGTTCGTAAAAAGTCCACGGCATTCACAAAGTGATGCATTATATTAATTGGGACATTATTTAATAAATACTGACGCCGGAGAGCCACAGCTGCAGTGGCCGCGACGAGGACACGGCGGGACACACGCTCGTGTATTGTCCGCTTTTGCGGAGCAGTTATGCGTCCTCGTCGCGAAGATAATAGGACCAGACCTGCCGCTGTCGACCGTCGTGGCTACGATGTTTGGTAGCGACGTGTCCTGGCAGGCAATGGTCGAGTTCTGTGAGTCCGTCGCTTCTCAGAAGGAGGCGGCGGAATGGGCGAGGGAGAGCTGTTTTTCCCTCTCGGTGGCGGGCCGCCGCCGCCGAGCCGAGGGTCGGAGGAGGGTGTTCGCCTGAAAAATATTAATAATAAGATCTGATTACTAATAAGCACATTAGCTGATAAAGTATTGTACATATGTAGTTTAAAAACAACAAAAACACACGCTTAAACAGCAAGCCGAACTAACAATTACTTATACCTTTTTTTCGTGATTAGTTTATATTAGAGCAAAGTTTTAAAATTATTGCATTATCATCGGTCTTTCATGCGTGTGAAAATTTTCAAGTTAATCGGGCGTCTTGACGTTGCGAAAAGTGACGTTCGTAGGGTCTGTTACATTCAAAAGAAAATACGTACATAGATATCAAGCTGATAAAAGCCTGTTAAAATAGGTTGGGAATACGAATCATGGTTTATTCTTACAATATAGAAACACAACAAAAAATGCCGGCATAGCAAGCAGTGCATCGATATAACCTATAAAATAAATTAAATAACTACTAAATTAGCCCGAAAAACTATGTATCATATTTAAGATAAAATTACGTTTTCAGTTACGATCTGACAAGATTTCTTTTTCAGCAACGAGAAACGAACCCTCAGCCAGTTTTTGGATTGTTAGTACTGCTCAAGACAACTGTATACAACTTGGTTATATTTTCAAGATTCTACCAAATCATTTACAATATTCGAATACACACTTAAAAAAAATCACGTTTGAAATTCAGGTTATCGTAGAGCTCTACCTGGTTAAGACTTGTAAGACGAATACCAACCTCGGTAAGAATGCATCTCCCTACAGACTAGTTGGGGAATTAAATAATTTGCACAGCAGGCATTCTTTGGACGTTTTTGCTGGCACTATTGACAGTTTTAGACAAGACATCTGTAACCTTCACTATACTCAATGAGCTTATTTCTGATATATACCTAATAATGTGTAATAATATCAAATGTTATATGGTTATTTATTTTACAACTATAATATGTACTGCTTGTTTCACCAATGCATGTAGTCGATACCAGTAATTGTGTTATCATTAAGTATGAGGTTAATGTATGTGCTAATTGCAACGTCTTGTGCTGATGTATGACATGTTGGCGCCCAATAAAAAAGAAGATTAATATCACCATATACGTCGCTAAATTCAAACTAAAAAAAATCTAATTAAAGTGATTAATTGGACATATAAACTTTGTCTTGTTTGGTTGCAAATTTTCACGGTATACTGTATGAAGATTATTTTATTGCATAAGACTTTCAAGAAAGATGAATGATCTGCGAACAATGCATTCATAATAATTACACGTTGAACAATGAATAAAGCAACGTAATCCTCTCCGATTTGGAATGAACAATGCAAGCCTGACTGGCTGGAAATTATTTAATAAAGCTAATACTTAGTGTAATGCCTACCTAGGGCAGAGTATGCTAACGAACTCCTATTATGTTTCACCCTCGTGTCACTGTGTGAAGGTTTTGCACTCTCGACCGAATTATTGTGAGGGGTTGTTTCAGAAAATCATGTGTTGCTCCAGGGAAAAGCGGGCAGTGAGAAAGCGCGCGCGGTCGAGAATAGACGCCTCCTCATTTTAACGCCGGTAAAGGCGGATTTTCGGAAACCACTACGTAACGAGAATCAACGTCATATTGTTTTAGACACTTCGATGAACAATAACGGAGGTGTATAAAGGCAAAACAGTGTATTAATAGTGACTTGTTTGCATACGAGTGATAATTGTGTATGAGTTTGAAACAGTTCATGAGAATTCTAATTAACATTAAATGGATAACTATGAACTGCTAATATTGGGAATGACTGAGATAAGTAAGTTTTGAATAAAATTAATCGTTTCCAATCAATGTAATTCTAGGTTTACTTACACTAACTTAATAATTGCCGTAATTTTATTTTAAACCTTTTTAATCAAACGTATTCGGTTGAAAAAAATAACCTGAAGAAGGTAGATAATTTTTCAACTAAATATAGCAGTCATAACTACTTATTATTAAAATCATAAATATAAGTAATATAGTTCCAAAACTTCTTTCAGTACACTAAAAGTAATTGTTACATACAATCAGAATTCCTTTGTAAACTTGGGTTTTAAAATAAAGTTTACCAATTATTTTTTATTACTACCAATCCACAGACAAGCTCAGGACTCACTTGATCTTGAGTAGTCACTAGAGTATATAGGTACTACGAACTCGAATAACACTGCCAACTTTGAGACCTACTGACGAAGACTCAATTGTTTGTCAATGAAAGGGCTTTTCAAACTGGAATGAATAACTGCTACACGGCAGAAATGTTAAAAATAGTGATACTATCAATATACCGACAATATACAAAAAAAAAAAAAAAAAAATACCGTTCATAATATACCTATGAATCAGTATTTACGTTGTTTTGTTCAAATAAATCTTTGCTTTTGATTGAACATACATGATGTAGAATTGAAATCATTTTCATAAAATTATTGGTGATGATCGACCATTACCGGCTACAATAAATTTTGTTCTCCTTCATGTCCTGAAAATCTAACGTAGACGATTTTTAATGCCCTTGTAAGCAAACAAGCATACGTTCCTTATGGTAAGTGATTACCGTCGCACATGGTCGTCAGCAATGCGGTATACCGCTAGAACTATTACTACTAGTACATATTATATAGTTACACTGATTATATAGGCTGGTAGTGGTGATAACCAATTCATTATGGTTTTTTTATTGCTTAGATGGGTCGACGAGCTCACAACCCACCTGGTGTTAAGTGGTTACTGAAGCCCATAGGCATCTACAACGTAAATGCGCCACTCACCTTGAGATACAAGTTCTAAGGTCTCAAGTATAGTTACAACGGCTGCCCCACCCTTCAAATCGAAACGCATTACTGCTTTACGGCAGAAATAAGCAGGGTGGTGGTACCTACCCGCGCGGACTCACAAGAGGTCCTACCACCAGTAATTACGCAAATTATAATTTTGCGGGTTTTATTTTTATTACACGATGTTATTCCTTCACCGTGGAAGTCAATCGTGAACAATTGTTAAGTACGTATTTCAGTAGAGTAATTCGCATTCCTGCCTGCGGGATTCGAACACCGCAGCATCGTTCGACACGTATCCATTTGGGCGTCCTTCTCCTCTAGGCCACGATTTCCTGTTTGATAACCTTCAATATGCAAAACAATTAAGACTTTGATCTGTTTGAACTGTTTAGTGGTTCCTGAAGTCCATTGACAACATTACTAGAATGCCACCATCCACAATGAGACATGAGGTCGACGGCTCAATTAAAATTTTATCTTTCACACAGTGAAAAAAGCAATTTAGTGAAATTCAAGAATTTGAAAACTCAGGCGAATTAAGTTTTACTACAAGAGCAATTCTGCATGTTGACCTGAATATCTGATGCTTCCCACAAAGACTGTCTTAGTGCTGTAGAAGCAATTAAACTGGTTTACCGCTTGGATTGCTACGTCTTGAATAAACGGTGAATTTAAACTTTGAGAATGCAAACTGTATTACATCGGGAACGAACCAAATCGCTGTTAGTTCTCAATTAAGTGAGTTTTAACTTGAAACAATTTATATAGCGTTTGAAATGTGAAAGGTCTGTTTCCTTCGACCTTTATACTTACTTTTACTTAGTGATTACTTTGATAGTCTTAACGAAAAACTGGTCAGGAAATTTTGTTCAGTAAAGCTAATATGTTTTAGAATTTCTGATTAACTGCGCTACGTGGCAATGAGATATACACGCGTTCATTTTATTGTGAATCAATATTTTTAGATTTATTATTAATACATGCGTTTCCTACATGAAGTAATGGATAACGAGATCCGAAGACCGGGCTTAGTGAGAGAAACAGTCAGAGATCTATGTCTAGCAGTGAACAATTGTGGGTTGATGATGGTGATGGTGATGATAATGACGATATAGAATGAAAATTTTCGCTAAATCAAATAGACTATTATGCAAAGGTATGCTCGCTGAGTCTTTTTTATTGTGGTTCTTTTTGCAACAACCTATTTTGATATTCAATAATTGGTTCAAATATAAAATAACAAAACGAAGACTTAATTTATTTCTAACGTTTCAGAAACAAACCAATCTAAACTAATAGTTCGATTTACGAACGTCAAATGTTACAAATCTGACAACGGGCGGACGCAGCTCGCAATTAGAGAGGATATCCCGCCCAGTAACATTTACATTTTAATTTAAATTTCAACGAACTTGACGAGATTCGAGATAAATTGGGCCGCGTATTTAACGCAATAATTCGAGACTGCCGGTTCGCGGTTCCAAAATTAAAGGGTGGAATAATTGTTTGCATTTTGATTAATAATTGACATTAATATTGGGAGCTCGTAGCGAGAAAGCCGCTCTGTACGTGCATGTGCTGCGGACTACACGCTTTGTTAGATTTTGAATTTCGAATTTTTTAAATGTTATTACTATTATTTTTTTACGTAATTGTATAACCCAGGACCTTCCCTTGGGCAGTCAACATTTGTTTCAATAGCACGGACTCAGTAGCTCGAGCCCTTAGTGACAACCTGAATGACGGTGTCGACATTGATAGATTAGATTAGCGTTGTATAAAATTCGGTATGGTTTTAACTAGAAAATGCGGGTCTGTGATCTAGTTTTCCCAAATTATTACTGCTATTTCTCCATCATTCATTTACCCCAAACTCTTCCTCTAGTTCTTACTTTGACCACTGATTGGATATGATATGCTGTAGACCAAAACGGCTATGGTGCGGGTTTTGGGAGCACTAGGTTTTCAATACTTGTGCGTTATATATTCTTTCTATCTTAGTTCTTACTTATTATATTTTTATCTTGCAACTTGATATACTGTAGTGGCAGTATTAAAAAAAACAGATTTTTTCTTCTTCATCATCTTGTATTCATCTTTTTATATCAAAATAGAAGTAGTTTTCTTTCTATTTAAATTATTGCGACATTAATAGGATCTTACACGAGAACGTTGTATGTTTAATTAAAAAGTTTTCTATAATAGATTACAGCATTCCCGCTCTGCCGATATCGTTCGAAGATAAAAAAAGAGGATAATGCAAATGCGGAGTGCGGAACGGAGAATGATTCAGAGCAACAAAAGGAATGCAATGGAAATATCGTTCGTTTGATGGCCGTAGCGAGTCGTAGCTCGCGTAGCATCGGCTCAGATCACGCTCCAACTATTGTGTTTTGATTGCATCCCTCGGGGCTTTTATAAAATCAATTAACTTCTTAGGAATTCTTCTTAGGAATTCTCTAACTTTCTTAGGAATTATATCTCGGCGTAATGATAAGAACGATTGATTTATTTTGATGATTATAAATCGACTAACAGACAATTGCTCAACAGTATGTTACTTAAGACAGTAGTATGTTACTTATGACGACGCTTGTAGCTGAAAGTAAGTATTGTAATTTTTGACGAAGCATGTTGCTGATAACTCTATTTCTGTAATCTGACGAAGAATGTTGCGGATAATAACATGTACTTTTAGGTTAGGAATATTATGTTTTTTTTTAATAATAAATTGCTCAATGAGTTAGTTCTTATATCACTTTAACACAATACCGAAAAAATTATGAACATAATATATTTTTTATTACTTTGGTTTAATGACTAGGAGCTCCTCGAACTTCAATGCTAGATTGCTTTGCCGCTAAAATGTCATCATCATGGCCATCATATTATCACATATCTAGTAATTGTGTGATAGGTTATATAAATAGCTTTTAATGTGGATACGAGTTTACCGAGTACTTTATGTTGCAAGTTGTCACGGGAGTACATAGGTATCACAAGGTCCCGTTAAAACTAATGTCAAATTCATGATTCTGCTGTAGCGTTTATCGCAGTACCTCCAAATTGAAGCTCACTATTATTACGCGTCAGTAATAAGCAGAATTTTGGTCCCTATCCGAGCGGGTTCACAATACACCTTACCGCTAATAATTACGCCAATGTATGTAACCTCTACACGAATTATCTTAAGAGGTTAATTTGTTATAAGGATGATATAAATGAAAATTTGGATATTGGAAGATTAGAAAGAACATAAGAAATATAGAAGCTTTTTAAAATATTGCAGTATAATAAATATAAAAATAGTTTTTTTTTTTTTCTCCTACCTATGCTGATAGCCTTGAGAGGCTATTTCAGCTTCACCCTAACGTTAGTAGGTGAGCTCGCGGGGCTCAACCGGAGAGTTGCTAACACTGACCCTAGCAAAAGCAGTGCTTCGCAGAATCTACCACCGGATCGGAAACGCGACCCACTGAGAAGATCCGGCGAGAAACTCAGTGGGCTTAAAAATAGTGGTGAAGCAATAGCTTTAAATGTTGTTTCTCTTTATAAGAGCAACTCAATTTGTGCTATAGTGTTACTAAGATAAACTGTATTTTGATGTAAATAAAATAATACATTATATGTATACTATACGAATTTTGTTGCGCGCATTGATTCCTTCCTTGCGGTAATGAATTACTAAATCGAATATTACGAATTCGTAAAAGTTCTGTTGACGATCGTAAATTTTTCTGTTTTTTAAAACGTTGTTACAATTGTTTTTAATTCGAATGTCCGAAATAACGTTAAAAAGAATGTTTGAGAGGTTAAAATCAGTACGTATTTGCTGTTGAATTTCACTTTGAAAATAATTGTAGCGACGAGACGTATATACAGACAGCACTGTAGATGTCATTTTCACAAAATTCAATTATTCTTCATGAAAATGTTTAAATGTTAATTAAGTAGGAGTGTTCTTTCATCTCGTTTTATTTGGTCTGCGTAGGAT